CCAGGGAGACTACTCAGAGATTCCAGTAAAGTTGTGTCTTAGCTCTAGACCTAAACTCAATTGATAACTTACATGATGTGTAGAACCAATTTCTAATAAACCAGACTGAGCTTATGCCCATGGGGCCATGATCCAGTAACCAGGTTAAGGGTGTGTATTGCATGTACATGCAGGATGCACAGATTTAACTGAGTGAGTGAAAATGAGGTAAAGCGGTTAAGGACCATAGGTGGTGGGTTGCTGATCTTCCCCCAGAACTTAGGCACCGGCTTTGAAAAGTTGTTCTTGGCCAGGACTGGCTTTAATCACATTTCATGCCTAATACTATAAGCATTTTTTGCTTTCCAAGTGAACTTGGCAATGCAGACAGCCTCTCTAGTAAGATTTCCAGAGCTCCTTGAATTCAGCCAAAATCTGTTCTGATGCAGTGTCTGTGTACCCTGATGGATTAAAATGGGATTTTATGAAGGATGAGTACAGATGGATTAAGTCAGAAACATGAGGCAAAGAAAGCTTAAGACCATCAAAAAAGAACAGTAAGTGGGGACTGCTAATCTATCATGGCAACATTGCTGAGCCAAGTGGCAGCCCTAGTTAGAAAAGAAGTAGAGGGAAATTGTGTAACACAAGAATTTTAATATCAGCCTCTCTGGGTTATTCTGAGAGTCAAACTTCATGAAATTTTTGAAAATATATTCAGCACTTGAAAGGATTAGACAGATGTTTCTGAGTTATTTTAAGATCTCTGTCATATTCTAGATGCTTCAAGGGGGAGAAAGCCATAATGCATGATCATAAGACCTGAAATAGGAAGGCCTAGGATAAATTTACTTTGTCATTTAGCCCCTTTGAGCCAGGGGATCATAATATGCAAAGTGATAATTTGAAATCAATAATATGAAATATACATTTACTGTAATTTTTGTGTGAAATCCTCACAATGAAGTCAAGAATAAATGATTGCCACATAGCAGACTGTTCGACTGAAAGAAATAATCCCTGACTAACAGGTACTCAATTAACAGAGGATAGGTGGGGTCTTCTTGACAAGTGAGGACGTTGAAGGTCAGTCATCACCACTCAATTCAGATGCTTGGTAATGCCATAAAGCCTTTGTTCATCCATTCTTAGAACACTGGATTTTATCCTCTCTGTGTCCTCACAAAGTCACAACACTGTTATGATTTCAACCCAAGGAAGAGAGGAGAAATGAGACTAACAGGAAACAGAGCTGGGAGTATCTCTTTAAAAAAATTTTTATTGTGCTTTTGTATATCTCACACCATAGTTCTTAATCAAATTTACACCCCTCCCCCACTCATGCCTCCCCACCCCCCACTGGACCTTATGTATTCTGCCACATATATATAGAGAGATTATATGTAAGGTCTATTCTCTCTCACCCAATAGTATCAGTCTCCAGTAGTTCCCAGACTAGGGTCGACCCACCACCCATTTCCCTCGCACCACTCTGGGCCCTTGTCTGATTGAGTTGGCATGGGTCCTGCGATCAATGCCACCTTTGCCACAAGTTCACATGTGCAAGCTTCCAGTGGCCTGGAAGCCTCTGCTTCTATGTGTTTGTGAACCAGTCCTGGTTCTTACAATCTTTCCACCACCACCACCACCCCCTTCCGCAATGGCCCCTGAGCTGTGGGTGGGTGAGATTTAACATAGGAGTCCTATCCAAGGACACATAGGAGTGTCTCTTTTATCAGAAAAGTAAATGTTTCCCAGAATTCTCAACGTTTTTCAGCAGACATCTACCTCCACCCCATTACCTACCTACATCTCTATTTATATCTGCTGGCTGCATGCCTTGGCCACTTCTAGCTGCAAAGCTGGCTCATAAAAGAATACTTTTAAAAAAGATGGGATCTCACTATATTGTCAGGGCTAGTCTTAAATTCCAAGGCTCAGGGGAACCTCCTGCCTCAGCCTTTTAAGTAGCTAGGACTACAAGTTTATGCCAATGCTCTGGGTGCTCATATTTTATAGCAGATTTGGGCAAGGGAAAGAATAAAAGTGTATGATAAGCTAGCATTGCCTGTGTTCATGGGCAGGAATCTGGGCATTGTACTTTAAATGAAGGCTCACTGACATTAAGTGACTAAATTCCTTAAGCAAAGTTAGAAGCAGAGCCTCTCTTTGCAGACCACAGTTGCTATCATATGGACTGGGTCAAATATGCAATGTATTTTTGTCATATTTAGACCCCCCCTCCCTTATCTGAACCCCCCTTATTACCCCACACTTATTTCATATACTGTAATACATAGAGATAGATGATGATACTAGATGATTGATAGATAGATAGATAGATAGATAGATAGATGATAGATAGATAGATGATAGATAGATAGATAGATTAGATAGATGATAGATAGATAGATAGATAGATAGATAGATAGATAGATAGACCATATACATATACATAGAGAGTAAGAGAGTCAAATTCATGTCCCCAAATTCTCTTCAGTGTGGGTCCATCTACTGGAGCTCGATATCATACCCAGCATCACACCCTTAAAGAAAACTGGCTCTTCCTCTCTCAGCAGTTATCAGTTGTTAGTAGTTCCTTGGCTATGATTTGGGCTTCTTCCTATTTCCTCACTTTTATGCATTGGGCTTTTTCTTGACTAGCCTATGGCGTTTAGCTGGGGCAATGTTCCTCTGTTATAATGTAACTCCTTTTAATCTCTTTTTTCTATTGTATATGTATATACGTTAAGAAACTTCTATAGTGGTAAGCATCCATATGATTTTTCTAATGGCCTTCAGTGTTAATTAACCCTCACAATAGTCCCCCCTCTGCCCTGCCCTCCCTTTTCCATCCCTTTACCATGCCTACTCTATTATTTTCCTTTCCCTCTTTATATCACTGTATTCCATGTCCCCTCCCATGAAATCTCCTCCCTCCTCCCATGACCATGTACTAGTTTCCTGACCTTTATGGATTTTCCAACAAAAACACACAAATAAGGCTTTATTGTTAACTTGTAATTCAAAAAAGTGTTATTTCAATGTGCCTCATATAATGATATTGATTTTTTAATATTTTATTTATTATTTTTATTTTATGTGTATGCGTGTATTGCCTGCATGTAGGTAAGGGCACCTGTGTCGTGCAATGCCCACAGAGGACAGAAGAGGCTGTTAGATTCCCTGGAACTAGAGTTACAGACAGTTGTTAGCTGCCATGTGGGTACTGGGATTCAAACCCAGGTCTTCTGCAAGAACATTCAGTGTTCTTAACCACTGAGCCAATACTGATTTTAATTTTTGTAAGGAATTGATAAATAGAAATATTCTAGAACCAAATGCAATTACTTTAGGATCTTGACATAGTTCAATATTCCTCCAACACACACTGGATTACAAAGATGATAATATGATATAAGTATGATACCCTGCCCCAACAGATGGTGAATTACCCACAACTTACTATGATAACATAATGGCTCCTGGTTAAGATAGGGCCGATGCCATGATGGAATGTGTTGTGAAGATGGGCGGGATAAGTCCACGTGTCTCATAGCACACTATTCACTCATCAGTTTTAAACCACTGCATCTGCTGCCCCTGGTGTTTGCCATGTAAAATGGAATTCCAGTGGTAAGCATTCTACAGTAACAAGTCTTGTAATGTGAAGCCCAAATCTCCTTTGCAACCTTCCCCCTTCCCTTTGTATATTTCCTGGCAATAGTCTTCATAATATTTATTTAAAATTGGATCAATACAATAGACTTGTTTTAAGTAGATGCAGGGAATACTGAATCTGGTTATAGAAAATAAACCCAAGTGACCATTAGTAGTTGTGATAAGTGTGTCTTTCTCTATTTAACTTGATCTTCTCCTTAAATGCCAAACCTAGGAATGCTTGTATAAAAAATGATGGATATATACTTGATAATTGTTCAAGAAATGAATCTTCATTATGTGTACAAATTCCTGCCTGCTGTTTACTAGGTGTCCTGTCGTCAATAAGAACATGGTACCTCTGGCTCTGGTCAAGGTCTCCTCCTTGATGTTCTTCCTTTCACCTCCCCAAGGTCTGAGTCACTTGAACATCTGTCCTTGTTATTAATAAGTCTCTTGCTATTCTGTTTTGTCGCTAGCAATGACTTTTATAAACTCTTCATTGTAAGTTCTTCAAGGATACGAACTATGACTTCCATTTCCTATGAGAAGATGTGCTGTGGCCCAAATCACCCATTTGAGATTCAGATCAGCTACAACATCTGTGAAAATAATTTTTATTCTAACTTCTTAAAGATAGTTCTTTACAACAGTCTTGAGCTTTTTTCCTTCCTCTTTCTGATGACCTGAATAAGGTGTCTAGAATTTAAAATTTTAGTAAAGAAAAACAAAGTTACTCCAAGTACCAGGACTTACATAATTGAGCAGATAAATATGTGTAAAAGCGTATTAAATTTTATTAGGTGATTTTACATTATTTTATCACAACCTTAGTTCAGCCAGGTGGACACAGTCAGTTCTCTTTTCTCCCATTTTAGACCCCTATATTGAGAGAGAGAGAGAGAGAGGATTAGTTTTCTTAAACGATGTATGAGAAAAACAGTTATTAACAACTTCACAACCCATAAACCTTTTGGTTTAGGCATTCTCTTTTTGAACTCTTGTCATCTTTTTATCCTCCAAATTAAGTTTTGCATTTATTATGGGATAGTTGGAGGCTGGTATGTTAGCTTGGTGCAAGCCAAATTTGAGGTCTTTGGGAAAATTGTTATCATGCACTCAATAAATTTTTCTCTTATTTTTATGTAGTATAAGCAGAAGTTTTTCCAGAGAGTTCGAAAGGCTATACTATAAGTGATTTGGCAAGCTACTTAGGAGAGAAAATTAGAATTTATGGATGGCAAATCGCCTATATTCAGAGTTCAATGAGAGTCTCAAAATCAATTTTACAAAGAGGATTTGGGGCTTAAAAGCAAACAGAAACTCACTTCTTTGGCAAATGTGAAAGAATTAATTTCCATGCAGTGGTCAAAATCCTGGATTCAGAGGAGCTGAGTGGGCTCCAAACTTGGTTAACATGTTATTTGAGCCGCTTTAAAAGAAGAAAAAATGTTTTGAAAGGCTAAAAAGCAATGGCATCTTAGATGTTAAATAGATGTTTGTTTGTTCAAAATGAAGACATTGATGAGTTATGTTTAAAGGAATCAGAAACACATGGATTAAGCTTTACTTAAAACAAACATAGGTTCAAATGCTGAGGGAAATGCTGTGGGCAGAGTCTGTTAGGAACTCCCTTCAATCCCAAATATTTGTAAAAAGGGATGAGATGATTCAAATACACCACAAGTTTTCTATGTCTAGTTGGACAGTATCGTTTACTAGCAATTGTCATTCACCTATTACTTTTCTGGCCCCAAGCAGCTGCCATTAGCTCTCTCTCTCGCATGCCTTCCCCAAGCTCTGATGACTGTTCTCTACAGCAGATCACTGCTCACTCACAAAAGCAGACACAGGGGCAGATGAATGTCTTCACGTTCTTAAATTTGAGGCATGATCTTCATGACCAGGTGCATGCTTTATTTCCAAAAAGGGCATCCCATGATGCTCTGATGCCTTTCCAGCCACTTTGGCTAAATTGCTTTCATGTGCCATCCACTCAAGTTGCATGGGAAGCTGGCTTTTCTCTGGCAATGGGTGACATTTTCCTGGCCCAGTGATCACATGCCTAGAAGGTTTCTACTCTTGCACGAAGGCAAATTCTGGCCAAAGGAGCCTGGCTGACATGCTAGGGTTTCAACTCCGCCAGACACACAGTTGAGACAGACAGCAACTGGCGCCTCGCTGTACATTCCTGCCCATCTTCAGCATTCCGGGCACATTAGGGTGAGTCAAAGGTCTTCTTTTTGTTTTCAACAAGTGAACTTATGTCCCCAGAGTCTAAATGCTGAATTGGCACTCAGCACATTGAGGAAATAGGAGAATTTTAATGTGATCATCTAAATTAAATCATGGGAGCCATGAGTTCCAAACTTGACTGTGCACTGAAACTGCCTGGGAAGCTTAAGAAAAAAAATACAGATGTCTGGGTTCCTTGCTCCAGAGATTATAGTAGAACTGCTCTGGGGTATAGCCTGGACATCTATGGTTTTGAAAGTTCTCTATCTGAATCTACTGTGTTCAAAGTTGATAACTTCTCAAATAGAGTTGGGCCAACTGTCCTAACAAAGCTAAGTATTGGAATAGAATTATGGTACTTACAACTGGATACATATTACAGTCACCTCAGGTGATTATTAAACTACTGATTTGAATGCACAAAACCATCCCAAGCACTTCAAACAATTATATAATGAAGCTTTGTTATATGCATGAAATATATATGATACCTGTATATGACACATTCATATATATACACATATACATACATATATAGAAAGATGTAGACATGCATTGCTTAATGACAGGGATAATTTCTGAGAGCTTTATCTTTAGGAACTTTATCATTGCATAAACATTGTGGAGTAAGTAAGAAGGCTGTGATATCATGAGATGATGTGAATAGAACCAGCATCATACATGTAATGTGTAGACTAAAGCATCATGTTAAGGCACATGACTGGTTTGAATATGAAATGTCTCCAACAGGCCTGTATTTTAAATGCTTGATCCTCAACTGGGGGTACTATTTTTGAGAGATCCTGGAAACTTCAAGAGATGATGCCTGATTGAAGGAAATAGGTCACTGGGGATAGGTCTTTAGGATGACCTGGATCTTGACCCCTTCCTGTTTTACTGGGTATTTCCTGTCTGCCTGATGGCATGTCCTGTGGATTCTTAGGCAACCCTACAAAGGCCTCTGTGGAAAGACACTGAGGGTTACTACCAATAATGAGCTCCATTCTGTCCTTTATGGAAGTGAACCTCAAAAGTGGATTTACCACTCCTAATCAAGCCATCAGATAGCTAAATCCCAAGCTTAGAGGAACCTGAGATGGAACTACCCAACCAAGATTGTCCTGAACTCTTGCCCAAGAAAACTATGAGACATCTTAAGCCAGTAGGGTGTCAAGTGATTTCTTACATAGCATAAATACAATAGTATTATCATTCTCATTTTATAGTTGAGGAAACTAAGCCTCAGAGAAGTTAATAATGACCTGTAATTACACAGTTAAAACTTGCATATCTGGGAATCAATATTAGGTCATTGTCTCCAAACACTGTGCTTTAAAAATGATGCAGCTCTCATCTAGACTGTTAAGTATAGTTAACAGAGAAGACATTACATTGGCAATTGTAATTTATAGTAATCAACCAAAGAAAGTAGATTCTTGCCAACATCTTTCATGATCTCTCAGCACTGCCAATTGTTTGAGAGTAATTAGACCATCAAAATGCTACCCTTTGCTTGATCATCCTACAATTGCTATTGTTTCCTTTGGCACCCAGATTTCAAGGAATTCTCAGAACACCATCCACTTCATCCTTAAAGCTTTTAAACTGATGTCTCAAAACACAAATTATAGAGTATATGCTACAAATAGACACTCATATCCCAAACCTGCTCTGCATAAAGGCAAGCCTTTGCCTAGGTTTTCACAACTTGCAATCTTAAACAGGTAGAGGATATATTCTCAAGAAATTTCTACATGATATTACAAAAAGCCCAGGAACTTGAAAGGCAGAAAGGTCTCTGTGCTGGCTTTGTTGTCACTAGCTGTGTGGCTTGAGGAGAGGCAGGCGTATGCCTAAGTGCCAGTTCCAGCAATCCTGATTAAACTCTTGTGGGATGGGGCCTAGTATGGGCCTTTTTAAAGCTCCCTGCATGATTCAGTGTACCACCATGGGTTGCAAACTACTGATGTAATCTTTTGCAATCTCAGTTTCCTCATTTACTAAGGTAATAATGCTGAGTCCTCGGTGGTTTGGGGAGAGGATTAAGGGTAATTACAACAAAGACCAAGTACAGCACTTGTCACATAGTTGGTACAAAGTGAGTGCCATCCATCAGTATTTGTGGTTTGTTTAAATTTTTTAATGCACTATACAAAAGTATATAGTTACTTAAATACATCTATGACTTCTTTTCCTTGAAGAGCTCTCCTTTAATACTTAGAAATCCTTTCCACTCCAAACAGCAAGTAAATACATATCTCATTTTCTTCAGGTTTCTTATGATTTTATTTTTAAACTTATCACATCTATCTGGAATTTATCATCTTGTTAAGTAATATAAGGTGAAACCAGTAGTTTCTTTTCCACCAAATGCCAATTTTTCTGCATCTATGCATTAACATCATTCTTCTCACAATGATTAGTGAAGTCTTTTAAATACACAGTATTTAGTTTTCAGGCATTACCACTCTCGTAATGGATTGCTTCTATGTTCTTGTCCTAACTTTAAAAGATTTATTTATGTGTGTGTGCGTGTGTGTGCGCACGCATGCGTGCATGCATGCTCACATGTGCAGGTGTCAGTGGAGGGCAGAAGAGTTATTTGGAGCCCCTGGAGCGGGAGTTATAAACAGTTGTGAACCACCAGATGCAGGTGCTGAGAACAAACTCAAGTTCTCTGAAGAGCAACACTTGCTCTTAACTGTCAAGCCACCTCTCCAGCCCCTCGGACACTAATTTTTAATAAACATTTAATTGTTATGGTTTTGCAATGGCTTTAGTATCTATTGGGTAAATTTGAATATTTATTATTCTCCTACTAAAAATTTCTTCAGTATTTTTGGCTGAAGTATTGCTATTTACAAATACCAAATTCTTGCTTGTAATTTTTTATCCTTGTGTTGTGTTTGTGTGTAAAGTGTATGCATGTATGTGCGTGTGAGTGCATTAGTGTGTCTCTTTCCCATTGTTTGCCTCTGTGTTCACTGGGCTTGCCAGGCTGAAAGTTTCCAGGGATTCTCCTGCCTCTGCATCCTATCTTGCTGTAGGACCACTGTGATTACAGGCATGCACTATCATGCCCAAATTTACGTGGATCCTGGGGACTCAAGCTCAGGTCCTCACCCTTGCAAGGTAAATGTTCTGCCCATCGAGCTCTCACTCCAGCCCTAAAAATATCAAATTCTTCACATGCATACGATCTTTACTTTTTCATCAATAGAGTCACTTAATTTTGCCATTAAGTTCCAAGAAAAATAGTGTGTCAGCATAGATATGTTTATCTTTTTGCCTTAAGTAGCACTTGTTCCTATGTCTCCAAGCCCAGGAGTAGTCCAGTTTGTAAAATAAGGGCTTCAAGTACTGTGTTATGACATGCTGGGCTCTTTTTGATCTAACTCCTCTTTCTCTTCTAGACTCATTTTGACCATATTCGTTTCCAAAAACCACTGCTACAGCCTAAGGTACAGTCTGTTAATCATAGCACAATATGGGTAATGAGTAATTGTCAGCACTTTTGTGTCCTTTCTGTAAGGTACCTCCCCTAAGCATATTTCATGCATTATTTCATGCAGTTCATCTGAAAATAAATCCACAAATTCCTGAGTACTCCTCTCTTCAAAAGGTGAAGCTAATTCTCCTTCCCTTGAGTGTAGGTCACAATTAATGATTCACTCCTAAGGATTGGAAAGTGGCAGAAATTTGAGCATAAGACTCATCCCTGTTTGCTCCCCTGGGTCACATGGAGGCCAGCTGCCATGTTAGTAGACACCTCAAGTAGCTCTTGAAAGAATTTCACATGCTAAGAAACTTCGACCTCCTGCCAGGTGCTGGTAGTGACTTACCAGGTGCTTCATCCATATTTGGAAGTGGATCCCCAGGCTGGATGAGTGACACCAGGGCTGATTCCAGCTCCAGAGAGCTGTTTGACCACCACTTCCTGAGAGAGGCAGAACAACCACCACACAGCTGATCACTCCTGATTTATGTGGGTAATAAAACTTTACTGTGTTTGGACTACTATCCTCAGGCCTCTTGGGGTAAGTCTACAGTGCAGCTCTCCGCGCTGGGACTCCCTAAGCCACATTCACCCTTCCATCCCCCCCCTCGCCGTTCTATACTCCTAGTTTGAGCCCTGAGCCACTCCTAGTGTTGGGGCCCCAGACACCTGGGGAACCAATACTGCTTCCTGACCCTTCTCACCCAGACCAACTCAGTGCCTTTCTTGGGCCCCCGGAGCACCGCTTCTGGTCCTGGCCCTGCCCTCACCTCTCTCTCATGGTTTTCCCACTTAAGGTGCCTGCACTTTCCTCCCTTTCTTCCTTACTAATACCCTTGCTCCTATCATCCTACCTCTGTTGAACTGCTTCTTTCTCCTTATCCCCTAGGTTCCTCATATACCCTTCCCTCCCCTCTCCCTTAATCTAACCCAATTTTTATCCATATCTCCCTTAAGGACTGTTGCCTACTATTCTTCTCCTTCAGGTTATTTCTTTTCCTTTACCTCACTGTTTCCTTACCCTTGTCCTGGTTCCTGCAGTTATGTCTGTTTGCATACATATTTATCAGAGTCTGATCTTAGGATCCACATATGAGGGAGAACATATGTCGATTTTTTTTCTGAGATAAATCAATTTATTTTTACACTTAAGGTCATTTGAGGATCTGTTCCTCAGGGGTCACATGGGCTTGGGAGGAGCGCTTGGCTCTT